AACATTTTGCCCACATGGGGACAAAGTGATTATTGCGATGCCTGCAGGTCTGTGGACTCACTAAGGGTTATGTGCTGAGCTTGAAAAAAATGCTGGAGATTATCATGTATCCATTGCCCAATTCTTCACTGAAGGGTTCTAACCCCTCATTCTCTTCTCCCTGCGGAATCCTCCTCACTGTAGGCTGACTCCTGCCTGCCTGATCGCAGCAGTGGTGGATTGATAAGGTCACCAGGTTAAAGCCCAAGGCTTGAGCTGGTGCTTAACATACAGTGTCTATTTAKACAGACATTTTTCTCTTTTCTCCTTCCTTAATTAGTATTTAAATATTCCAAGTGAAGTGGAATAGGTCAAACAGGAGCCATTAATGACCTGAATCCAGAATACTCAACAGCCTATTTATTGGAGTGCTCATCTGGGGAGTAGAACAGACGAGTCAAAACCTACCAGCTCTCTCATTTAKAGCAGACTGCACTGAGGTTTCTCACATCCCAACTGCATTGCCCTAGCAACAATATTATTATTTAAAAGAGAACAACCTCTTTTTTTTTTAGTATCATGACTAGCCCTCTGCTTTTAATATGAATAGCCTTAAAAAGACATTGCCTATTAAATATTGGCAGAATGAAGAGTGCAATACATAAAGTAACTGTGAAATAATGTAAATATAGAAAGTTACTCTTTTACATCTGAATGAGTCTGAATGGAGTAAATTTATTTATTAGTTTTGKAGGCTTTGCTTTGTTTGGTTGTGTTTTTGTATGAGAATAGCTCATACAAAATAGTTAGAATAGTTTTGTATGAGAATAGCTGTTGAACTGTGAAATCAAGTACCCATCCTTAACCATGGACTCYTATGCTTATTATGCCTTAAGGAGAGCTCAAACCAAAAATACAAAGGATATTTTATCTAAGCTGCCAGAACTACGAGCTGACTCCGGACTCTGAAAGTCACACAGTGTTCTCCTCAAAGTTGTCACCAATTGTCAAGGTTTATTTATACTTACAAGACCTTATGGGTCTTCAGATTGTATTCTAAGTGACAACTCTGAAACCAGAGGAATAGTAAGAATCTCAGAGTTTTAGCTGTTTGGAATTTAGCAAATCAATCTGTTGATGTAAAGGTGACATTTGCRACCTGATGGGGTAGTCCTGTGTGCATGAGAAATTGTGATGTGCAGTCAGTGGTATATATCCCTGGAGTAGTCTTTTTATAGAAATGTATATATAACTTTAAAAAAGTTCCCATCCTCATTGAAAATCAATAGCAATCACAACCCAAAGTGCCAAGAGGCTCTAGCARACATGTGGCAGTGGATTAAAACTGGATGGCTGGAATTGTAACAGCCTTCAGCTGCACCCTCCACTCCTATGATGGATGTTGCTTCTCCTAAAACAAGGACAACTGATCTGCTCATGAATATGATCCACTGTGGTGCTCGAAAGTAAACTGACTTGGATTCAGGCTGGCTGTAATATGGAAACTGAAATTAGTCTTGGGATAGAAAATAATTATTATATGGATGGCAAAGTTCAGCAATTTGATTTTAACCTTCTGCTGAATGACCTCTKCTAGTTGTGACTGTAGAACTCAACAAGCTCCATCAGATGATTTCAAAGCAATGAAAATGCTTCTCTCTCAGTCCCCCACTGGGCACCTGAAGCCCCACAGACCTCTCGGACCAGAGCCCTGCCGAACTTTGGCCCTTTTCTGAGGAAAAAGAGAATCACTGTTGGCTGAATTGATGGAAACATTGCTGTATCCACATCCCTTTTTTCTCTACTGTCTGGCTCTATAAATATCATACATAAAGGTTTGGGGAGAAGGTTAGCACTGGTAGGAGTGGACAAAATATGCAGAGCACCTAGATATCCTAAAGCAAGAAACAGGCAGAGAAAAGCATGAGGAGAACACCTCGGGTACCACAATAACAAAATGCTTGTAGGRAGAGGACAATCATCTCAGGGTTATTACCTCTTCTTTTAGGAGCCATAAAATTATGATGGTATCAATATGCATTCCACCCTACATGAGATTATGTAGCAGCAAACAATGTCTATCTCAGGAGTAGTCAGATAAAATCYTCCAGCCAATTTTATTTGTGTAGGTATCTAAGGACATAAAAATCAAATTTCTATTTGCTTTAGGATATCCTGTCTGGGTTTTTTTTTAGGCAGTTCCAAWGTTACTGTCCTGTAGATTTTGCCTTGCCAGTACTGTGAGGATGTCTTTGATAACACAAAAGCATTTAAAATAACAGTGGAGATCTTAGGGCCTGAATCACACTGTGAGCACCTGTAACAGGAACCTCCAGCAATATAACAGTATTTTCCTAGCTTGACTTCCAGTCAAATTTGAATCAATAGCTGTTCACTGACACTTTAATGAATGCAATGACAGTGATTTTATTGTATARCATCCTGAGTTTTTAAGGGCAAATCTGACTTGACTACATCAGGAGCCAAAATCTTGCTATGGATAACCTTCTGGCATACTTGAGCTTTGTCTCTGCAGCATTGCTCTGATTGATAAATGGTCGGTTACTATTTTCTTCTCCAAAGAAGGCACATAGTGGTCACAGTTTGAAAAGTTAGGCATATTAAATAGGAAGAAACTATTTTTTACATGGCAACAGACCTAGAGGAATGATCCTTTGACTGGCAATTATAAGTCTATATCTGTATACACACATAGAGTTTTAATTGCTTGTATTATAACTGCAAATATCTGCCACTAGGATGTCCTTGAAGACATGCTGTGGTACTAATCAGATTTGTCAAGATGAGACAGTACCTTTCTATGCTCTCTTACACATCATAAACYCTGACTGATATCCCCAAGGGGAAAAAATGCATAATGTGTCATTTATGACCTGTTACATGCACAAATTACTTGCATCTTGTGTGCCGTAGGATAACAAAATGCTATTGATTTTGAATTTGACTTAGGAAGCTGATCTTTATTGTTAGTTGTCACTTGGCAGATTTTTCCTCCTACTGTGAAATGTTTGATCTAAAATTTTTGTTCGGACAAATAGAAGCAGGGATGGTTTTATTTTATTTTTTTTTTTTTAAATTGTGTATGTTCTACCCTAGGAGATAGACATTATTTATAAGCAGAATAAATATTCTATAAATAAGACTAAATTTCAAATAAGTGAGAAAAACATGTAATGTGCCAGTCTTGCTCTGCTTTTACAGCACTGCTGTGTAGCAGAGCAGTTTTTCAGGGCTTGAAGCAAGATACTGATCAGCACTGGGATGCTTGTGCAGGAGCAAGCTTAAAAGACAGGGCTRAGGCAACTACACATTAATACAATGYRCTACATAACAAAATTAAAAATRAAAAAGAAATCTAGAACAGATTGGGGTATGAATTTGAAAATTTGACAGATATGACAGATTAAGAGTTAGGGAAACTTCCACCAAAATTGTCCTTCCCAATTACATACATTTTTGTCAGATACTTAAAGGGGCATTTCAGTACAGTATCATTGCAGGATATTGTTTTAACGTTGTACAGAAAAGGAACAAACCCATAATTCATTAGCATAAAGACTGGAAAATTTGTTTGGATAAAATAGAAAGGGAAAAACATGTGTATGTATGACTAATATTAAGGATCTTATCCTTTCTTAGTTTATTTCTTTAAGAAAATAAATATTGTGATTCTCAAAGAGAGTCTGAATACATGTTGTGGCAATTGTTGGAAAGTATTCAACAGCCTGTACCCTTGCTCCATCAATAGTTTCTGAGTGCATATTTGTAATTTTCTATTTCAAAAGTGAAATTAAACTTGCTTACCTTCATATAGAGCAGCTATGTCACACAGAAAATATCAGTTTCACAGGTTGTATCTGATATGACAGAAGATATGTAAAAAGCTATGATCTGAGCAAACTAGGTGTCACCTGATTCCTTTAAATTTTAAATGTCTGTGGGGACAAGTGTCCCTTAAATCACTGAAATTAATTTAAAAAAACTGGTTTCAATAACCAGACCAAGAACACGTGTAATATATTTTTGAATATTTTAATTGTAGCATACAARCAGATATTGTAAACTAAGCTAATGGAGATAGAGCAGTCTTCTACCAGTTTGAGCTGTGGTGTTATGAATACTTTTACAATTTTTATTGTATATAATGGAAAAAAACCCCTACCTAATTGTTTAGGTTATAATTGTCTTTTATGAAGCAGATTAATTTGAGGACTTGAAAATATGGTTAGGTTTCAGCTAGCTTTGCTTTGTGTCCAGAATTAGCATTTTGAATGGCTCAGGAAGAAGTAGAGTAAGTTAACTTAGGGTGTTGCTGTCCATTAAATAGTTAATGTGTGTCAGCTACTCACTTAGATAAGTAACATTCACCTTTCTACCAGCTTTTTAGTACCAAACCTCTGCTTTCTGGAATCAAGTCTGCTTTGTCATTGCAACTCTTCTTTCTTAGGAGATCATTTCACTACATGAAAAATTCCACAAAGGTATTTAAAATCAGATAGTTATTCACAAATTTTAATGATTCTGCACATTTGTGTTTGTGAATCATTTGTGTTTGTCTCAGAGGAAATGGTGTATATATGTATTTCTATTGTCATTGATAYGTGTCCTTGACAGCAGAATTTCAGCCAAACCTCAAGTGGCATAGATGCATTAGCTCCATTAAAATCAATGGAAGTTCACTTAATCACATCACCTGAGAATCTGGCCTACAGCCCGTAACAAGACAATCCTTTGGAGGGTAATAATATTTTATGCTTTCATCAATCACTCTCCTAGGCCTGTAGCTATTTGTGGCAGACTAAAAAAATGTTATATTGTAATCAAAAAGGCTGATTGTGACTATTTATTCCAGAAAGTGAAAAAACCTTGTTTAGTAATACAACATTGATATTTATTTTAAACATTCGGACTACAAAACAATTTCAAAGCAACATCTATATTGTTGACTTTAAGGCTCCAAATTGTTACATTCTTGTCCTCTGTTCTGACTGTTTGCATAGGACACATGTCTACAACCACGACAATAATAGATGGTAAGAACGGATCCGTTCCTTCTTCATCCATGAAAGTGGGCAAGAAGTCAGTGACAGAAGACTTCGTGGCAACGTTCAGCTCACCAGCAGCATGGCTTCTTGTTGTTGCTCTGATTGTTACCTGGTCAGCAGTAGCCATTGTAATGTTTGACTTGGTGGATTACAAAGACTTAGCAGGTAAAATTCAGCATATTCTGTTTCATACCGTCTATATGCAGATTTAAAAATTTATTAAGCGGTGTGGATTATGTAAATATGCCTGTGTCTCACCTCCTTGGGGACAACACAGTGGCTCTGCTGAGTTTACCRAGAGAGAAGGTATTGTGAGAGATGTCAGAGCATATTAGTTTACTCTTCATATATCATTATAAATTAAGTCTCTCCATTTTGCAGCCCATCCTCATCCTGGAAAAATGAATTTGTTGACGGTAATGTAAAATGTATATGAGCTTGTAAGGTCAGATTCCTGTTTTGCAATTTCTACATTTTTTTTTTCTAGAAAAAAAATTAATTATTAATTCATATTTTCAGAAATATCAAGTATTGAATAGTTACCTTGAGTATTGTGATAACTGCTTGCACAGTTTAATGACCAGAAAAATGCAGAAGAACATGCTAACCSCAAAACTGATCTTCAAAGTACAGAGGACCAGGTTCTTAATATTAGCTAAGAAACACCCTTCTCTTCAATCAGGCAGTAACTAGTGTAGTTTAAGACTTGGCAAGATAAACGAACAAGATCAAGCTTTGGGTACGTAGTGGTTGCTGAGTGCAAAGATGAAAGTGAAGTGGGTGGTACAAGGACTGTGATTCTAATTGAGGAAGAGAAAATAGSGAGCGGGAAATAGAAAGGAATAGAGTATTTATGCCTTTTATCTGGCAATGCTGTATAATTAAAAATAAATTAACTACCTATGTTTGTAAAGGGTATGTAGTGTTCAGCAAGACTTCAAYAGGAAAACTTTTTTGAGGCAAACAGCAGTAACAATTGGGATAAATGTATGTGAAGAAGAAAACAAATTATTAGGGTCCTTGTCTTTCTTAAATGAGAACTCCAGCTCTAAAGTTATTACATCTGTCACAAAAATTAACTAGGAATTGAAATTTGGACTCCAGCCTTTTAAATCAAAAGAAATTGAGTTGATGCTTTGGAGTAAATTTCCTGGACTTTATTAGTTTACTGATAAATTCATAGATTTTTTTTGTCCTGCTATATATCAAGATTGACTTCAAGATTTACTTAGAAAGCTTTGGAAACACATATAGATCTGGGAAGAAACCAACCAATCCTGGATCAATAGATGTCACTGAGCTTGAAATGTGGAGAAAATGTACCACAAAACTTTCTTAAATGTTTTTTTCATCTGTCTTTGTTTTCAAAAGGACATCACAGGAAAACATAAACTAATTTCTGAGACATCTTTCCAAATTAAGCATCAGATTTTAGTTTGGACTCCACACACTTGATGCTACAACAGAGATACAAATCAAGAAGGAGAGACTATCTTATTCTGCTTTAGTCTGCATATTAACTAATAATCAATCAATCAGTCAATCAAATCCTTAATATGTTTTCAATGAACAGTCAAGAACCAGGGCATAACTGAGACTAAACTCTTAAACTRAGGAATTTCTTAACTGGCTGTCAGGTCACACATGTTTGATATACAGGTCAGGGTAAKGCTAAGGCATAAGAATCTATTTGTACTGGAGGCTGAAGGAAACTTTCTACGCAGATGGAATTCTGTTCATRTTGTATTGGTTAAATGAGCAAAAATCTCACAAAGGTTGATGTAAACTGACATTTTTGGACCAGGATGTAGAAATAAAACAATCCAACATTTAATTTTCAGGGTGAGTTTTTCTTTTGTGGAGGTCTCTGAGAGATGATACTTTAGTATTTTGAGTTTGTGAGTTTTTTTTTTTCCCTTTCCTTTCCAGCAACATTTCTGTTCCTAAGTGATTAATTAAAGCAGCATTTGAGTCAGGTCTTGATGGTCAAACCTTTGGAGAAAGAACTGCTGTACTTCTTTACATTAGGATTTATAGACTGTTTTCAGTATTAACATAAATATAGCAATAGTTACATAGCTGTTACCATAACGTTTGGGTTCAACTAATTTTCTACTTATTTTTTTCAAGTTAAACCCACTGATACATAAGAATTCCATGGAAATAGATGAAGATTTCACGTAGAATCACTGAGCTGGCATTTTTGATAGACAAATTTTTTCACTTTTTGGCCATTTGGCCCTTTGTCTCAAGTGGAAGTAATGACATCTTTCCATATAGAAAGTAGAATTTGGAGCATATTTCTAAGTGGTTCCTTAAACCTAAAACCCAGCCATTTTTTATCTTGGGTTTGACATTGTTCTTCAAAAAACCAGACCTGCATAAAAGGACTGACTAGCTATTTTCAGGACAGTAAATTTAATTTTGCAAGCAAGCATCATTAAAATTAATTTCCTAGTTTTCAAAAGCAAATGAAAGATGCCAAAGAAATTATATTCAATTGCATACTTTTTAAATCCATAAAATACAGAAAATTGAGTGTATTTTTCCTCAAAGAACACTTGCCTTTCATAAGCCAGTGCATTCAATTTCTTTCCCACTTCTCTACCTAAAGTTCCATGAAGCTCAAGCTCAGAAAGTACGCACCGCATACGGATGAGGTGGGCTGGGAGAGCTGAACTCAGCCTGGAGGAGACAGAAGGGTGACYGAGGAGCAGCCTGCAGATTTTTGAAGGGCAGCTACTCAGATGACAGAGGGCTCTGATCTAYGGGCTCCCACCAGGGGCTGTCACCACTTTTTTGTGCCTGAAATGACCATCCCCATAGCAGAGCTGCAGCAGAGACTGCGCTGCACAGGAGTGACTGCAGCAGAAAGCAGGAGCAGGCTGACCTAGCAAACCAGCCTGGGAACTGCATGGCTGAGGAATAGACATGGATTTGTTCCCCCTGATTACACTCTGGAAAATTCAGGAAGTGCAATGCCCCGTGTTATGAGCTGCCCAGAGCACACAGAGATTCATGGAGCTCAGTAGAAACACTACATATGAGCTGAGGAGGAAATACTTAAACTGAGTGTTGTTTTACTCCCATTATCTGAAGAGCAAAAATTTCCAAAAAGACAAAAAGTAATAGTATAACTATTTAAGCTCTTATGTATTCTTTTAGTTTATCGGTATGGACCTCACTCCACCTTTTGTGATTAGAGAGCCAACCCATAGATTTTTATTCTTGATTACTATGGTTTCCATTCTCTTAGAAATAAACTAWCAAATTTGTGAAATATGAACATTTATATAAGATTAAATTTGTCCCAGRACTATATGAGAAAGAGGTGTTTAATTTCATCCTAAAGTAGATGTGATAAATCACTTTTTTGCTGGCCYTCTTTATTCAGCATTTGAAGAGTAGCTTTTAGAACAGAGGGAGGCTGAGGGAGGATAGCACTTTAGTGARGTTAGATTACATGAATTCAAGCTCCACTCATGGAAAGGTTTAAGATAGATTTTTGTGTCATTTTATACATCCAGAACACGATGGCAGTGGGTTCTATAACACACTGTATTATTCAGGAGATTGTGATTATGATATAAAATATAACAGGAGGACCCCATGTCACAGGTTACATGTGTAAAGCTGGGTACCTTTGGTGTCAGATTGTTCAGAAGCTGGAACAGGGATCAAACCTTTGGCTTTGGCAGTGGATTTTGAGGAAAGTCTGAGACAAAAATTAGACCAGTGCTGAAARTTTCACCCCTCTTCCATCTATCCAGAAGAAGGAAATTAAATTTTGCAATGCTGTGCTGTAGTGTATCATGCTCCTTCCTTTGAGGAACTAAATGAAAGCTTGCATTCCCCTCATGCTGTGTTGTACAAATATGAATATGACAGAAATATTTCTAATGTGGCATGAAAGTRACATACATTACAAAAGCCTGAGATAAGGAACTACAAATCTCATACAGTACATAGTGTGTATGAATATGGAATAAGGTGCATACCTCATTGAATGATCTCATATATTTTCAACATTCTCAGAGATTAAGAAAAAAATTAATTTTGGTTTGATGTGTGTTTTGCAACAGTTCATTACTACCATCCTTTGTATTAAAAAATACACCTTGTTAATTTGCCTCATAATTCATGCAAGTATTTCATGCATTTCCTGTACACATAACTGGATTTATATTTTAATTGGTAAATGCAACTCAATAATTTGAGATTATTTTAGTCCTAAAGATTGATTGCCCARGAATCCATATTTGCTAATGGGTTAATAGAGCATTCAAAATTTCCTGCCATCTCTGTGACCAATTACAGCTAATTAACATCACCCTAATTTCAGATCCAGAGWGTTCAATATTCAGAGTAAATTGATGGTGATTTAGCCAGTCACCTAAAGGCCAGACTAAATCAAACCTAATGAAACCTCAAAAATCTATTAGACCCAAAATTGCCTAAAAAATAATATAAGTGAAAATATAGAAAACACACAAAGACACACTTAGCAGAATGAGTTGGCCATTTTATCATGGCTGTTTTCATAAGTAAAAAATGAGTAGGCTATTTGTTGGGGATAATTTGTTTTGCTCAACCAYAAAGAGGCTTTTTAGAGAGCAGCAGGAAAGGCAGATCTCTGTGGAGGTAACACCTATTAGAATGGGGAGTTTACRGGACATGGACACATAGAGCTCCCATCCAGTCAGATGTCTTTAATTTTTTTTCACTCTTTTTAAGTTAGTGGCAAAACATCTGGCCAAATATTGCGAGGTGTCTCATACTAGCTGCTGAATAAGACAGTCTGAAGTCACCATTTCCCTGCCTGAACTCATGGCCATATCGATTACTGCTTTGTAGTCACAGACAGATTTTGCCCAGCCTAGGGTAATAKACAATAATTATTAGGAATATACACATCCATTTTCCCCCTGCAGTGTCAACTCCCCCTAGTCACACAGTTGGGTTAATGTTCACTGGAAACTTAAGAACTGCAAAAAGAAGAGTGCACYTATTATTACTCTTGTGTTTTATGACAATGTATCCGCCAGTGTTAAAACTGATGATACATTTGCATTTAGCCAGGGAAAAAAATGAACTTCTGGATTAGTTTAAACCACCAGCAAACTTAATGGAATAAATAATTTTGTTTCTTTTTCAAACATGTAAAGCCCTAGACAAACCTCCCACCCGGGACTTTATCAAAACAGTGCTACAGTCTTCTGAAATACATTTTTACTGTATTTGTAAATGTCAATTCAAAGCATGATTAAACAGCTTATCTATTTCAAGTTCTTAATGAAATTCTTAATTGAATTTTATGAGACTTCAATTAATGTACCTAAAACCTACAAAGCATTTTCCCCTCTCCCATGATAAAAACTATGAAAGGAATTTAAACCCAATTCCAGTTTAAAGAAGGCTGCTCAGATGACATCTGGTTTGCCATGTTGCAATCTGCAGTAGATCTCATTGCTGAGCTATAAACCCTGAGAAAATGGGCTTATCCTGAAAAGAATGACAGTCCATGAGCTATTGCAGTACTGCAAGTGCTGCTTTCATYCCAAAAGATCCAAAACATATAAGAGAATAAATTGTGATAGATCAAACTTTGCAAGTACATGAAGTTGAAAATACAGAGTTCCAAAAACTGTCTCAGTGAATAGGGAAGGACCTACGAGGAGAATTCATGCTAAAATAAGCTTCATGGGATACAAAACACAAACCAAATTTCAAGTGSATAATGATATTTGTGACATTTCTAATTTTAAACCAACATATCAAACCTGTAATTCATTGCTGTGATGCAGTTCTTTGGTTTTTGCTGTTGAAGAAATCAAAGCAACTCAAATAGAATCACCCATATGTAATATATTCTTTTCAGCGATAGAATTTGTTTGTAACTTGTGAAAATACTGTGCCTTATTCAACCACGTTTTTACATTGCTCTGATTCATGCCGTATTATCTCACACCTACAACATATTGTTTCTCTTTTCAATGGACTCCAATTTCTGCTTCATAACAGCAGCCCCACAGGGATTAAACAACAACACCTCACTTCGCTCCTTCAGTGTTTCCTTTAGCCCATAGCTGAGAATGTTCATTACTGCTAATGGTGTTTCTTCCTTTTTTTTTACTGGCCTTTCTGGGGTTCATCCTGTTGCCATCAGGTATAACCACCTATTCACARCATTGTGATGATCCCTGTTTGCCTCCTGGTAAAGACCTTCTGCCTGCAGTGTTCTGAATATGTGTGTGGATGATAACAAGGCACGGGCACGAGCAGAGGGCCAGGGCACAGCAGCACTGCTTCTCAGCTAACCCCAACCCCGCCTGGCTGGGGCTTGCAACAGCCTATTCCTCATTTTCACATCATGCTTGAAATAGATATGCCAGTTAAGAGATGCTCCCAGCCAGGACGTCCCCAGGAAATGGTGTCAAGCTGAGGTACTAATTTTATACTTTAAATGCCCTTTAAAAATGCTGTTGTAAAATTATTTAACAGCTTTTTAATCTGAAGATCTGTGTTCTTAGTCAGAGAACTGAACCCATAGAATTAGAAAAAATGAGGCTTCAAACTGTTTTAGATCAAATGTCCATGTGCTTCAGAAAATRTCACCTAATGAGAATCTGAACCATCAAATCAAAACATTSCATCTGATATCAAATTAAGTCATGTAAACTACACTTAAAGCTCATTGTAAGCATACGCTCCTATMCTCATGTAGGGTTATATCAAATGGACCTGGAATTACTTGATTAATTTGTGAGAGTKTTTTAATTTCTCTCGCAATTTTGGCAAATAGATCCTAGTTATAACTGCTTCTTTGTCCACTTTCCGGTGAGGTTTTTCTCCATGAACTTGACCTCAATATAATTATCTAAGGTTGAGATCAGAATGGGACAGCTACAGGCTGCATTCTTCATATTTACCTTATATGTAGTTATAAAATGGAAATTACTGAGAAAGCTGAYTCTGCACTTTCTTCAACAACTTTTATATGTAATATAATTAATTATTAATTATACCAATAATTCAGTGATACCAACCAGTGCTTTACCTGTTTATGGCTTAGAGCTATAARCCTGATAAAAAAGTTAGTCTGTGAAACAGAAAGGTAAAACCTAAGGACAGGTCTGTTGACAAACTGGAATGTTAATTATAGGAGAATTTATGTGTATATTGAGTTTAGTATCTTAGATGCTACTCTTCAAAAGATCACAGAGTAGAAAGAAAGAAACTTAAAAATGTATAAGATTTCAAATTTAAATATAAGTCTCTATACTTATTAGAAAATATTTTACTAAAAATAGGATATGTTTTATTACCACAAGCTAGTATTAGGCTTTTGTATTTTATCAAACACAACAGAAATTCTCCGTCTTCATCAGCTGTACCTTGTCAGTGTCAATGAAGTAGTTTATATCTCATAGATCAATCTTTGTACCAGATAATTGCCATCATTTGTAACTTAATTGCATTCAATTCACTGGAGTCAAAATATGTAATTGATGAAAATCCAACAATTATTAACTAATTTGCTGCAACTCATTAAAAAAAAAAAAAAGCCACCTTAACATAGGTTGAACTCTGAATATATATTTAACCATTTGACAAGCAAAAATGATTGATAGGAAATTACATTTCTAGCATAGTTATTAAGACTGGAATAATGATTGAAGTGATTTGCACAGATAAATCAATTAGTCACTTTTTGTTGTGCACTTTACAGGAATAAATGACACAGACTATTAAACATAACCAAATTTGCTTGAGAGGCTATAGCAAATCATACCTTGTGATTACTCAATTCTTGTTTCCATTAATCACTGTTAAATAACACATTATCAGTCCCAATGAAAAAAAAGGGTTTTTCTGTTCAAAAATACTTCATCACTTTATGAAAATTACCTTCTATCMCAAGAATATACCTAATGTCAACTGCAGAATTTGAAAAGCTTGTCATTGGTTTCAAGGAGCTGTGATAAGGGTGAATTATTAATTACCATTAAAGTTATAAATTTGATTTTTAAATCATTTAGAATTGTGAGCCAGGAAGACTTAAAAAATGAAGAAATTGATTGGTCAGAATTGTTGTTCTGATATTTTTAATGAAATTACTGTTTCTATGCCAAAAATTCTAGAGAGCTACAAAGAATTGCAGCACTTCATGTTCTGCTTCAAATTACACAGGGAGTTTTTAGAAGTATTTAATACCTACAACACATCTGAAAAAATTTCTTAAAGAATTATTTTAAAAAAATCTGCTAAGTTGCATAAAGAAAATCCAAACAAAGTTCCAGGTATCTCCAACACCTAACAAACATTCTACAACCAAATTCAATTGACTTCTCCTACAATAAGGTTTCATTGAAAGGTAGTATACAAATTCCTTCAATTTTATCAGAATTCTTCCTCTGTCAGCTTTAACTTCCGAATCTGAGCATTTTCCAGAAGGTTCCATAATTCTGATGTTTCCACTGAAAACAAAACAGCAAAACTGTTATTATTCTCCTAGCAGAGAACATGCCAGCACAAGTACAGATTAACTTTTACTGATCTGAAAAACATCTCTTATATTGTACCAAGTTATAAGTCTATGGCAAAATAGAATGYTCTAGCAAAGCATTTTTGTGGACTCAGTGCTGTTCTGGAATGTAAGTAATTTATCAAGGTGAATAGCTGTATTGACCTGGAATTAATTATGAATGTAAAGTTACAAATCCAAGTGCTTAGCCAAAGTGTACAATAACAAGGATTTAAATATGAAACAGCATCACTAGCACAATCCATGTCTCATACCTCAGTCGTATGAAAATAAGGTGACATGTCCATGATGATTTTTCAGGCTTCCTTTCTAGTTAATAGAAAGTAGTGGATAACTTTGGAAATTAATTCATGCAACCCTAAAACAGATTTTAGAGGAAAGTGAGACACTTGCCTTCTGAAGGTCACAATGTGTCCTTCTGCRCACCAGGGATTCAGTACTCTTTCAGGTACCTTTTTCTGGATAGAATAATCTGAATTTAAACTGTGATTAAAGATGATTGCATAGTGTCAACAAAATCCWTCAGTATTAATTGTATGTTTCATGTCTGAGCTTAACCTCCTCAGTAACYACTTACTTCCTTTCTCCTCCTTCAACAGGCATTTAGTAATTGTTTACTATGTTATCTAAGACAAAGCAATTGGCTCAATCCTTATTTAAAAGTTCAGCAAAAGGTAGAAATTCACAATTCTGTATCCACAATTCTGAGGAATACTCTCTATTGATGAAAGCTGTTTACAGTTTAAATTCAAAATCCTGCCCCCTCTACCTCCAGAGCAATAGATTTTGTGATATATATTAATTATAGATTAATTATATTAATCTCCAATAATATTAATTCTAGTTAAAGATCCATTACGAATTCTATATTACACACCATATGTTAGCAAAAGAAATATATTCTGACCTTATTTTTAAAATAATGAGTGTTCTAACGTTGGCTAGGGCATGAGAAGTAGTAGGACAGAAGATGTCTAATCCAGTAGAATATGTTGACTACAAGATGATTGTAAAAAATCTCATCATACTGTTCCATTGATGGACATCTCTAAATTAAAAAAAAATAAAAAAAAAATCAAGCTCAAGTTTTGTTATGAAAATCTGTCTTCTTTCAGCTTTACTCTTGAATCAAGAGTATGCGAATCKTCTGGAAATTGTTGTCTTTCTTTGCATATGCATGACGTAAATCGAATCTTTCTCTGTACTTGTTGCCACCAGAAGAATTTCCTTTGTTTCTAGTGTATTTCATTCTACTAGGGAACTGGTAGAAATTGGTAGTGTCAAAGTTGTTGGGAGAGCTAAAAGAATGGATTTAATCTGTTGTAATTTTCACTTCAATATTTCTTGGTATGGTGTTCTTAYGTTTCTAGGACACATCATTACTATTAGCACTACTTTTAAAAATTCTTGGAAGTACAACCTAAGTTAAACAGCAGATCTGTGCACAAAAACATAATTTTCCTGTTCTGTGCCACTTCCATCAGGCCTTAATTGAGCTCAGAGTACCTGTTTGAATGCAAAGTTTCATTTACCAAATAAARTGTCCTCTAAACAGCTCCCAACTGATTTTTCTAAACTTTCTATGTTAAACAGGATTTGCAACTTGCGCCTGTTAGCATAGGCATGACCGGAGAATTTAGCCTCTGGAAACTTATAATTTCTAATCCCTTTTCATAGTGTGGTATGAAGATGTTACGAATTAAAGACCAGGATATAATGTTGAAGCCTGATTCATCAGCAAAGATGGCTTGCCTTGGGGTGSTTGGAATAATTTCCTCTGCTCTTGATCTTGCACTTCTCTGAGCATTTCCCTTGCCTGCYCAGGGGGGACAGCTCTGCTACCTGTGAAGCAGAAGCAGTTCTTCAACTGATAGTTGATGGACCAGTATATCAAAATAAATTGATACCTGTTCTTGTTTAGTATACAGCTGTAGTCTCCCTGTGGCTGTAAAAACCTGTGGCTGTAAAAGCAACTGAGCCCTCCCTGAGCAGCCAGTGGCTAAAAGGAGGRTGGAATAGCCACAGTGAAAATCAAGGGAGCTGTCCAAAGTTAAACCATCCCTGCTTGTGAATCAAAACCTTGATTATGCTGAGATACCTCAGGCCATGTCCATTCTATTAGTCTATTTGACTCCTCAGCACCTCCAGATTAGAATAAAGTGCAAATGGCATCAGGGACAGGTGACAGRTTTACCTTTTAAAAGCCTAAATATAGGTATTCTTTCTCCTGGTTAAGAGAGAATGGTATTATTMTCATCTCCAGCTTGAGAAGAATATTTGTGGCAAATCATTTGAAAAAATTAWTTCTCTGCATCTCAATGCACAAATACAATGTAAACAAATAAGTGTCATGTTAAACAAAGCAAATATTTGCTGGTTTATTACTCTTTCTGAATAAAATAGTTCACATATTAGTACACTAAATTAATTTCTTTGCATTTATGTCATTGCATCATGTCACACTTTTAACGCATTTGATGTGTCCAATTGTTCAAAAGCATATTCTTATATAATACAATAGTCATATAATATTAGCTACAATATTTCTTTGGTCTGCATTTTTAATTATGAGGCACAAACCAATAGAAAGTCAGACTGGGGTTTTTTGCTTAAGAGTATTTAATTAGAAATAAAATGAATGATTTAGTGATACTTTTATATTTCAAACTAAGTTACCTCTAAATTTCATAATAACACTTCTAGAAAATAATTGTTCATACTGATGTCACTGAAAACATTCCTTTAAGCCTGTATTTTGCCTGTCTTTGTAGCCTACAAGTCCATGTGATACTGCTTCTAATTAATGTTAAGATTTGCCTTGTGCAGTCAGAAGTAGTTCTGAAGAGATTTAAGTAGTTCTGAAGAGATTTGTCTTTAACTTCCTACTAAAATATTTCCCCACTGAAAGATAATGTTGAACAGAGGTATGGTTCCCATCTTGATACTGTTCAATTCAGTATATATATTTCTATCAAAACTCTTAAGAACAAGACTAGGCCTAAAGTTCAAATCATATTTGTGGTTTGCCATTTGTCTGTATTTGTGGAAAAGCTTTTCACAGACCAGGCAATGGCTGCCCTTTCAAGTAYAGTGGGCAGTGACAGACTGAATGAGGGTTGTTCTTCTTCCAAAGCAATGTTTGCTACAGAGTTCAAGAAAATAGACTATTGCCTCACAGAATGGTCAGAAGAAAAATTCTGTCAGAGGTTTGAAAGTTGCTCTGACATAGCATGTCAGGTACAGAGGAATCTGGTGAAATCCCAACTGGAAAAGCCTTTAAGGGGATACTAACATTACCCACTKATGGTTACACTGCCTGGGTATTGATACAGTGGGGAGCAGAAATCTCACTTCCATCAGTGGCTCTGGGAAGGTGATAGACATTAAATAGCAGAGCCTCCTTGTTTCTCAGTTTGCTTGCCTAGAGAGGCAGTAAGACAGAACAAGTTAAGTAAGCAGATGTGCACAAATGTATGCGGAAGAAACTCTAAAAAATTGCAAGAGAAGAGCCAGATGCACAGGAGTATGTGTTTGAAAGTAGCTGTGTGTCACTGCCTGGATTTACATCCCCCTTCCTTCTCTCCCATCCCACACATGGTGGTCCATGGCAATGACAGGATCTGTGTGTGGTTAAACCAGAGCTCAGCAATTTCCTCTGACAGGACTTGTGTGAAGGAAGGTGCTCAGAGGGGCAGTGGCACTCTTGATCCTGAACAGGCTTCAAGAGGCAGGGGACCTGAGTAAGAGAAAACAAACAAACAAACAAACAAACAAACAAACAAACAAACAAAAAAAAAATAAACCAAAAAACTGAATGGAAGAGATTATCTAAAATGATGGATATTAGAACAAAATATGGACAGGTTTTGCTCAATCAAGCCTCAGAAGGAGAGACAGAACTTGGAATACAACATCAGACCAAATTAAACACTGGGTCCTGGATCACTCTGTGCACAGCAAGTGCAGTAAGATACAGTTTGCACCAGTCTTGCACAGGAAGGAGAGCTGTCCTCAAATCCTTGAATAATAAAAATTAACATTCACAATCCTTGTTTCTGCTAAGAGAGGTAGTATAATTAGTCTTGTATAAAATGAAGAGTAACTTCTATTGCTGAAGGAGTTGTTTGTTTTGGGGTTTTTTTTTCAAACCGCTTCTGTTTTAAACTCTGCACTCAGGAAGATCTGTTCACAAGCTCAGCACAGAACCACTGAGAATCATTCATGAGACACTGGAAGAGTCCTCTGATTGGATTTATGGCTTTTTTTCTTTACTGTCTGACATCGTATGGAGTGATGATGATGACAGTGACGAAGGTATTTGTAATGCAAAGGCTTCTGTAACTGCTCTAACTGCTTTTTTMCATGCCTTAGGTTGGCTTACTCAGCTTTTAACCTCACAGACAAGAAGGTCAAGCAAAATGAAAAGTGAACRTTGTTGCTAATAAAGCATCCACTGGCTATTCCAATCAGTAAATTGGTCTCTTTGTTGGCTTTCATCTTATGTTTAATGTACTATTACAGAAAAGCTGTCAGAATTAAATCTTATCATTAGTACATCTTGGAGGAAAGAGCACTAATTTATATAAGACTTCAAAGACACAACCAAAACATGCAGCAGGATGTTGTTTCAGAGAATAACAATAGCTATTTTCTTTTAATCAGCAAGACACAAAAAAACYCCACAAAATGCACAAGATACATCAAGAAACTTTTGAACTGTTTTCTATTTGACACGTTGATGACTGGGTAATATATTGAAACAAACAAACAAAAAATAGAATTTCAACTGATCTAACAGGATTTTGGATGGAATATTGCAAACAATTCAGTTTATTAGAATTTATGGTCCTGTCATTATGGTAAAATTCTTCATCTGACATCATCTGATAAATGAAAGTAAATTATTAATATTTTGATTTTGGAAATKATTCTCTTTCTGTTCATAAAAAAACAAAGCAAAACATAAAATAAAACCTAGTTCCCCAATATAAGCAAATACTGCTCCCAGTCAGTAGTGGATCATCATGTCACATCATATTGGTCATTTTGACAAGTGATAAGTGCAGGAGTGACATCTTAATTTCATGGTATTTTATTTTATATTCTATTTGGTTACACCAGAATGTAATTAAAAAGCGACATGTACTGAAACTGATTTCTACCCATTTGTCCAGAAACTTGAGATATTATCAAATGTTTACCTTTTAAATGTGTGCATGAGCTTTTTTATATTAGCACCACAGWTGAATGCTAATAGATGTGCTGCTACATGTGAGTCTGTGAACTGGGCATCTTATTCTGAGATATGATTTACAGCTGGCAGAAAGCCACTTTCTCACAAGGCTGACAAAGAGAAAAGATGAAATATACAGAGCTTGGTCAAATTTGATCAGTGTGCATTTTTAGTGTTTCATAGCTCCCAAAGCATGTGCAAACTTTCAAACACTCGAGTGTGGAAGTGTTAATGGCAGTCGGAAAAGTCATAAAATAYCTGACTGACAAAAATTTGAGATCTGATGTTCACTGTGTTTCAGAGACCTTAGCTCTAGCAGTGTTTGGCCCAAGTGGAATTTCATCAATCTCAACCAGGAGTGTGAACAGGCTGTAAGGCATCTTTACTGCACCATATAATAAAAATTAAGTGCATGTGAGCATCTGGCCCACTCTGTGCTGTAGTCAGTGCAGCTGAGGCTGGACACTTGCCAGTGTCCACTTGCAGTCATTCATGATCACTCCTTCAAATTCTGTGTCCAACACAAAACTGGAATAACATTGCAGCACTCAAGTGCTTCTAGTTACACTGATTTTTTTTTTTTTTTTTTTTTTTTTTTTTTTTTTTTTTTTTTTTCACTGGATGTATTGTTAGATTTACAATCTTGCTAAACTAGATATATATATTATAATTTGGAATTAAAACAGAACTAGTGGGCCTTTCCTTAAAACTTAAAAACATGCATAAAATAAAGCAAATTGTAAATTGTAGTCACAAATTAATATTCAGAAGCACAAATAGAGATTCAAATGCTTCCTTAGTTACTACTGTACCTTGAAATATCTACCCYAAACTCTATGGTAAGATAGATTCTTTATGAAAAATCCAAAATCTCAGAATAGATGCTTGTCATTAGCATATAAAGAAGAAAAATTATTTTTTTTTTTAATGAAAATGAGCCAACATCAAAAAAGTGGTTTATTTTGGTGCAATTTTTTTTCTTTTTGTTGTTGTTGTTGCATCTTGTCTCTGATACCTGTTTTTTTCTCTTGGCTTAGGTGAAGTGGAACCTTCCCTGAAAAAAGGTGGGTCAGTTKCTTAACTATACAGGGAAAATATTTTGTAAGCATTTTAAGAATTAACTGGTATGTCTGTGTTATAAATTCTGCCAATAGTTACATGACAGTCTCCTAACCTTGTCAGTTGTGTTCTAATGAACTCATTATGTACAAAACTCAAGTAATAATACTTAGTGAGCTGTATTTATATATAGTGAGAGTTTGCTGCTCTGTGAGAATTCTTTACTCTTTCATTATTATTGAGAAAATCTGAAAATTTTTCATAAAAAAATAGAAACACTTACAGAAATACTATTTATATCCTTGTGCTTGTGAGACTCCTGCTAATGCCAAGGAGTTATATCTATGTCTGGATGGAAATAAAATTCAAAAATAATAATATAGAAAGTATATTTAGTGYGAAATAATGATGAGGTACTGTCAAGCATCTTACCTTGTGCCAGCACAGAACCCTAAAATAAGGATTGTTCCCTAATCTTCTGAAAAAATTACTTGGTTATCAATGGATTTTTAAAGCAGATAAGTRAAGGAAATAGGATTCATAACATAATCTTTATAGATATTGAAATTTTTATGATGAAATATAAAACTTAAGTTCAACTTCCATTAAATCTAAATGAAAATGTATTAGAAAGCTGGAGTTACTGGTGATAGACTGTAAAGCTTTTCAAACCTAGGGTGTATTTTTTTCTCCATATTGAGAATAGTAGGATGTATAACCAGCCCTATGTGACCCGAATTTGATATCCATCAAATTCTCAAGATATAAATGCCCTGCTGCTTCTGCGATACACTCCAGTGTTCTCTGCTTAATTGGAACTGGATCGGGTTTCTATTTAATGAATTTTTTTGTCCATCTCATTCTGGCATTCAAGAAGTTAACAAGMTTGTAGACCAGGACCAATCCTCTTTCCATGGATGACTCATCCTGTTAGGAAAACTTACTGTGTAGGAAAAGATTCCCTCTCTTTACTTCATCTGCAAGAACCGTAAAAGTTTCAGCATCATCCTGTTTCTTTTCCTGCAGAGAGAGATGCATTTTTAGATTTACAAAGGATGCAGAGAATGTGAARCCATAGCACATAATTGGTAAGGATGTTCGTGGGTGGAAGGTGCCTTCCCACCATGGGCCAGTGTAGGGGCCAGGCTGAAAGTGCTGCTACTTCGTGGCTAGGGAGGCATAATCCATAAAAACCCTACAGAATGCACCACATAGAACCACAACCTCTGCTCCTCTGGAAATCAGTGATTCAGGTCTTACACTTTGCCCTTTGGGACAYAGAGCTGTAGAAATAACATTCAGAGAAGTAATTTAAACAAGCTGAAAGCTMCTCAAATTATAAGCAGTTGGACGTGATGATGTGATTGTTTGGTGAAAGTGATGATATGAYTATTTGGACTTAGAAGTCCTCAATCTAAGTAGCTGGGTATCAAACTGCCAGCTTGGAAAGTTTTCCTCACTATTCAAAGCTCACAGCCTATGTCTGGAGATGAATCCTGAGAGGGTCTTCTGTCTCTGGTATGAAGGAAATTGATAAGGAGCTGGTGATTTCTCTGGATCTGGTCTCATACAGGTTAATGCAGCCACACACAAGAAAAGGCCCAAATTCAAACATGCTTTATCTGCCTAAGCAGTAAAAAATGTTTTGAGTGGGATTTTCCACTTCCTGACTATGTGCTCGAGATTCTTCCCGTGTCTGATAGGATAATCATTCTTACCCTTTTCTCCTTGCAAAATGTTGTTCTTGACCAGGACAGCTGAAGAAAGTGCCCCTTTCTGAGTACTGCCATGWGCTTTCACATCCTCAAATAACTTACCCTCTCCAAGTGACTGGAGGTCTCCATTTCATCCTGGCAGCCAGGATCTGGCCTTGTTTATACTTGATTTTGTCACCTCTTTTACTGGGCTGMAGACACACAACATATGTGGCCTGAAGCCACCAGTCCCTTGGAAATGCCAGCGCAGAGTACTGTGCAAATCTTCTCAGTGTCAGGCATCTCTCAGCCCCTCAGAGCTGCCCTGGCCCTCTGCAGATTTCTCTTAAAATTGTGTAAGCACCAAAGAGCTGGAAATGTGCACTACTGTTGCTGTGCCTGATATTTAAGTATTTGTATTGGGTCTAACCCACAGTTTTTGTGATATTCATGAATAGAATGAGAATTTGTGAAAAATCTCCCCATCTATTTTAGTGCATGGACAAACCTTCTCCCTTTTGCTTTGCTGACTAGCACCTTTTGTGAATGCTGAAATGTTTGCACAAAACTTACTTTATAATGGAATATAGTAACTGAAAAAAATAAGAAGATTGCTGGTATTGCAATACAATTACATATTGGAAAAAATTCAAGGGGAGTGGCAAGGACATTGTCTAGCCATGAAAGAAGAAAAGTCAAATCATAATTACGATCCCAAAGAAAGCAAAGATCACTTTCYTAGAGATGTAAATTAAAAGCAAAGATAATAGAAGTACAAGTAATGACAATGGGCTTTCACAGGCAGTGGGATTAATATCAGTTTCAGAATCCTTTAGAAGATATGAAAATATCTCTCAAACACCTTTTTTTATTGCAATTATTTTTGCCAGTCCAAGTCTTATCACTAATATTTATCTTCAATAATTGGAAAAGAATGGACATTTAATATTGTCTGGAAAAGCAGTATTCTTTGGTGGACATAGTGAAATATTATTCTGGAGGGGACTTTGCAGTCTTTAACAATGCATACTCTCAACATACAAAAACTATAGGGCATTTTCACAAAAGACATAGAGAAATTTAATTCTTTCTTTCAGGCTTAAATTACTTTGGTTTCATTTCTTTCTACAGTAGTTATGACTGATAATCTTGTTCATTCTTTCAGGGTTGGATTCACCTTTAGAGGCACATTTAATTATTTGACAGCTGTATGGGTGTATGATTTTACTACAAATTTTTGCGATGAAAAATAAAATTGGGTTTTTTTTAATCTGTTTGTTGGGTTTTTTGTGGACATTACTGGCATCAGTTACAAGTTTGGAGAAGAGCTGATAAGCCACAAATTGAATCTGTAAATAAAGATCTGTAAATATAAAGGAAGTGAAGACATTTCAGCATTGAAAACTATGTCTAAAAAGGTCATTATTAAACTGAAAGTAATTTTSATTTCAATAAATACAATTGACTTAAAAAGAAGAGTAGGTAATAAAGCACCATTATGACTGTTATCCCTCCCTCTATTACCAAAAAGTTTTATTATTGGTATATGGTTATTTTTACTGACAATCGAAACAAACATTTCCTTTAGGCAGAAATGGATCTCAAATTTTCTGTAAATAAGCCTATATATGAGATAGAGAATTTTTTTGTTTGTTTGTTTGTTTTGTTTGTTTGTTTTTGTCATTCTTAGGAAAATTTAATTTAAAAAATCATAGATTACAACAAGAAGCCAACACAGAAGAGAAATTTCTGTTAAAGGTCAGAAGGAATTTTGTAAAATACAAATAAACGTTTTGGCAAAGCACCTTACCCATCTGTCTTCAGTTCAAATGAGAGTRTCATTGCCAGAGTTTTAGGCTGGTTATTAATATGCTGAAGACACATCAAGCTCTTAAAAGATGTGTCAACTTCTAAGGGTATGGTCAGCTACACTGACACCCTCAGCAGCTCTGGCCAAGGTGCAGCTCTCTCAGACCTGACTCCAGACACCCACTCCTATTAACCCCTTCCCCACCCCAAYRTTAGACCAGAATTTATTCAGAACAMTCTACTGGCTTKTTCAGACCTGGGTATTGATGTGTGTTAATAAACAAAGTGTTCCCAAAAAAAAAAAAAAAAAAAAAAAAAAGAATCTCAGACCAGACAATTTCCTACATAGGTTTTTAAGAGTGATCAAGTAAACATACAACAAGTTTGCCTGGGAAAGGAGAGAGCAAGGAGAAACACGCTCAGAGAAGTCTGGTGGGGAAACTGCTAATTTGGATTTGAAATTRGTTTTGATATGATAGCCTGTATAAGTCTAAAATGAACTGAGTTTAATATCCAGGCAGGGTAGGAAAAAAACATACAAATACTTAAGTTATTAGTCCTACGATTTATAATTTGTGTCAGATTTTTATCTAGTTAAGAATCTAAGAATATATGATCAGACAAAAAAACTCAGCTCACTCAGCAGATGGGACAGAAGTCCTTATTGCTGCCCTGGAAGGACCAGTGCAAATGCCTCAGGAAGGATACCAGAACTGTTAAAAATATAGTGATAATTTCCCAAGGGAGTTCTCCATACTACAAGTATTTTCCCCAGTGAGGGAACACAGTTTTTGCATGCCTGCAATCTATCTCCAACTTCTTATGGTCCAAGGCTAGAGAATTTGGAAGTGAACTAGTGAAAATAAATGCAGAATACCATAAATGCAACCTGAAAACTATGTTGCCAGTGTAGTTGTCATGTCTATGTCTTAAAAAATTATTATGCAGTTTCATTCATCCCTAAAGTATATGCTTTTTGTACTGACAATGCCTTCTGAATTCAGTTTCTTTTATGGTGCTGCATGGCAATGTTCACTTTTCTGTATACGAGTTGCTATTAAAGAGCTCACTAAAAGGCTTTCACTGTCTCCCTAGGCTACACTTTACTATAAAGCATTTTGCATATCTTTGTGTAAAGTATGCCCTGTGTTCAAAGATGGAAATCATTGATTGGTTCAATTCTCAGATGTTAAACTGCTTTTCCAGATATGTATTTTTTGCATTTTTCATTTTTGTGGCATCCATTTCTGTTATTAATGTCCTTTTAACAATTTAATCTGGTTTTACTTACACTGATCAATACAGCAATAGGATATTCACTATAAAATAGCACTTTATAACAGAAAGAAAATACTTTCCATATTACCCAGATGAAAAAAGACAATATACCACCAGGGAACAGGGATGCTCAATTACAGTTCTTTTGCCTGTTGCAGAGCAGTGATTTGGTTTCAACTTTAGTTGAAACTTTTTAATCCAAATTTACCAACCATTTTTGAAAA